TGCTAAAACGTATTAAAATATAGTCATTTTGATTTATTTCATGGAAATATTTAGGTATTAGATGGAATATGTATTAATACTTTATTAATTACATTATTTATTTATTTTGAATAAAAGCGCTCTTCAGACACGTCAAGGAACTTACGATTTTTTGATAAAGTGTATTGAATCTCTTCAAGAAAAGTACAGGAAACCATGTCATTAGGCCTTTTTTTTGAAACAAGGGGTGTAGAGGATTTGCATTCCCTCAAATTAACACACTTTGCAATCACCAAAGCAAACAGAAGAGCCTGCTGGAGACGCATGAAGAGTAAGAGAAAATCTGGAGCAGCCCAAAATGATCAAATGGTTATCAGGAGTCAGATATCTACTATAAACTGACTATAAAATGAAAAGATTTTGCACCAGAAGACAGAAGTCCATAAGTTTGGAGCAGGTGCAGAACACATGGCCCAGCGTCCCACTATCTGATTTACATTTAATACACGTTGGAGAAATATCGGGAAATAGTTTGAGTTTAGTTCTAGAAAAGTGTAGTCGATAGACAAGTTTGAGTTGAATAAATTGCAGTCTAGAATTAATGAATCAAGTTTTAATCCTTGATAGACTCTGATCCCACAGCTCATCTGTAACTTCAGCTGGTATATCAGAAGACCAGGCCTCTTTTATATGGTTAGAGGAAGGAGTCGAACTGAAGAGAGAGGCAAAATGAGAAATTAACTGTTTAGAGGCGTGCACATGTGTGTGTGTGTGTCTTATAAGCTCAGTTAATGATTTCTAATAAAACCCTTTAACAAAACATTTAGGAAAAGTAAAAATTTAGAAATAATAAAAGCCCAAGTTGTATTGTGTTTTAATGTGATTTTCGTTACAAGTTATTTAAAGTAATAATAGTAATAAATAACATGCAGGGTTCCTTTAGATCCATACAATGTCTTAAAAGGCATTAAACCCATCAGTCCAAAATTAAGGCTTTAATTAATCTTAAAATGTGCCAAATCAGTCTCAAAACAC